GCATTTAAGTTAGATGGTATAGCATACTACCCAATTATGCTTAAACCAAAGGGTAGTAGAGAGAGAGCGGTAGGTGAAGCCAATGCGAAAGCTAATCAGTTCATTGAAACCTTAGTCAGTAGAAAAATAAGGAAATACAACGAAGATGAAAAGCATTTATTCAGAAAAGTTATGTTGATAATGAATACCAGTAGCGAATTTCAAGAGTTAGGGCATATGATAGACTACGCTGATGCAATTAGAATTGAAAGCGTTGAGCTGGTTGATATTGACACCGCAGACTTTGATGAGAGAGATGAACCGTTAAGACAGAGCGGTCAAAATGTAAGCATCTATTACAGATACATTCAAACCCAAGTGGACACGGAAGCACTGACAATAAATCAGGCATTGCAGAAAAATGATTATAGAGAAAATGAATGTTGGATTAATGCATTACTTGAAAACTTTGAAGGGTCAAATTTAATAAGAGAAAAGAGGCAACAGAAAAACACCAAAACCCTTACACGTGATAAAGTGCTTGAACTGCTTGAAATGAATGAAGAAGAATTTATTAATAATGGAGCTTCTGTAAATCAAATGGATAAGGTATTTAAGTTTTTCAATATTCCAGTTAGACTTTATAATTTCATAGGAAATCTAATTTATGAATATAACCCTAACAACTACTTAAATGGCAAAGTAAAAATATTCAGAGGATTAGTTAAAAACAATCATATTTATTTGTTAAACCACGATTTGGAAACATTGTGCCAAAAAACACCAGATGCCACGTTCAAAGCACCAACAACAGGCAAATTTTATATCACTGACAAAACCGAACCTCTTGAATACAAAATGTTTAGCAATGTAGATGAGCTACTACAAATGAGAGAGCAGGATGAATACGCACTGATTCATTCTGAAAATGATATGGTAAAGGTCTTCCACCAACTCAATAATGCAGGATATAAGCCTTATAGCAAATATTATGTGTAAGTTTTATTATAAACAACTCAAAAAATATGTCAAATATAATATTGCATCACAGAGCTTATCAAAAGATAGGATGGATGAAGATGTGGCAGTAAATGATGGAACAACCTATAACAATATTGTAAAAGCAATGTTTAAATTACAAAAAGAAATGTTTAAACAAAACCATTTGTCTTATTACAATGACGTTGATATACAGATATTGAAAGACTGTAAAACAATTGTCCCCATTGGTTATTTTATCAAAGATGTAGCAAGTAACAATTTATGCGAGATTGACATTAGAAAGGCTTTTACACATGCTGGATGCTGTATTAAATACATACCTAGATTTACAGAGTTTGATATTTTCAAGCCTTTTAAGAATGAGTGTGATGTCAATGTGTTAAACGGTTTGACTTTATACATTGTGGAAGTGTATGATGGCAACATCTTTTTCAATCAAAAATATAACTTGGTGTATGGAAAGTTTTTAAAACAGTTAATTAAACATAATGTAAAATTAAAAATATTATGGTATAAGCAACCTAACCATGTATACAAAGTAAATTACAAAAAAATAATTGATGAACTGTATGATACAAAACTGTCTGATAACGAAGACCTGAATAAGCAACTCCATAAGAAAATATTTAACATTAGCGCTGGTATGCTTGAAAAATCGCATAACACTTCGCAAAAAAGCAGTGTATTTAGTTCATTGAAAGAAGCCTGTTACTACCATAGCCTATATGGTGGCAAGATTTACACTATCAGCAAGTGCCAATTGGAATTGGTAGAAGTAGATGAAGATAGCTCTCAATTAGAAGAATCTCCTGTTGGTGAAACATACTATGTGTTGAATGTTGCTGACAAAAAAGTTTTAACCAACGGATTTCTGCCGATAAAGGAATTGCTATTACAATATCATAATTTCAAAATGTATGAAGCTTACAAAACAATGACTGATAATAATGTCAAGGTGTATAGTGTTAAAACAGATGCCTTCACTATTCATGAAGATGATTTAGATAAAGTTTTTCGTTTTCAATTATTTGGAAGAAGCAATGGACTGCTGAAATGTGGTAATGAGATAGGCGATTGGAGGATAGAAGATAAAAAAACATATCCAACTACCTACCAACTCATATACATATAAATATAATGAAGTTCCAGAAATACCTAAAATCAAAAATTTCAATATTGATGTTCAAGATGAATGGAATACAGAAGAAATATGTAAGAAGATTATTAAACAAAACCCAGTGATTATAAAAGGTAAAATCCCGGGCACAGGCAAAAGTTATATTGGCGAATACTTTCAAAAAATGAATAAGAATGTTTTTTTTGTAGTTCCAACTAACCGGCTGTTACAAGAAAAAGAAGTAGAAGCCACCACTTACAATAAGTTTTTTAGCATTGCCGTTCATGAAGATGTCGGAGAGAAATTGCCACAGTATGATTACTCACCTTATGATGTGATTGTATTTGACGAGATATATATGTCAAATTTGTATGTTCTTAATAAAGTAAGGTTATTTATTCAAAATAATCCCGATAAAATTGTAATTGCTACGGGAGACGTCAAGCAATTGCAAGGGGTGGAAGCAATGACCAACTGCCAAGACCCAGCGACATATATGGATAATTGCTTAGATACAATTTTTAAATACAACATCTTTTTAACAGTATGTAAGAGAGTAGGCGCAAAAGACAGCATTGAAGGAGACATGAACAGAGAGATAATAAATAATATGTATGATGACTTCTGGCAAAAGAAACTGCCTATCAATGAAATAATACCTAAATACTTTGAGATTACTGATGATATAATGGCTTCGGAACATAATATAGCTTATACTAATATTCGGTGTAGAAATGTAGCAAGTGAAATCAGAGACAGATTAAACATAAATGCCAAATATGTAGTAGGTGATATTCTGATTGCCAGAAAATGGATACAAAAGCCGAGGGTCAATGTAAATTTAAGGTATAGAATAGTTATGATTGAAAATGACGAATTAGGGAAGCAAATAACATTGCAAAACATAGCAAATGAAGAAGATAAATTTATGTTGTTTGAACCTTTTGTAGATGCTAATTTCATTTATTCATATTGTGCAACATGCCATTCTTCACAGGGTGCAAGTGTGAAAGAAAGCATGACAATTCATGAATGGAATTTACCATTTGTAAATCGTGAGTGGATTTGGACTTCTATTACAAGGTGCGTTGATTTCAGAAAAGTCAGATTTTTCAAGAATGATGACTTTGAAAAGCAATTGAATAAAAATATGATAATGAGATATTTTAAGAATAAAGTAGAAAATTATAAAATACAGGATAGGAAAGCAAAGAGAGAAATCAATGAAGAGGAATACATAACTGCCGAATGGTGCTTGGATAATTTCAAGAACAGATGCCAGAAGTGTAATACACCATTTAACTTTGAAACTAAACAAGGTAAATTGTGTAGTAATTTTACCGCACAAAGGCTTTGTAATGATACAAGCCATGAAATAGATAATTGCGTCGGTTATTGCTACTATTGTAATGTATCAGCGCATTAAGATTTTAAGATTTTTATTTTAAAATCTTAATTAATTATATGGATAAACAAAAAATAATTAGTGATATTTATTATGATAAAAGCGGATACGGAAGTAAAGCTATAACTTTACAAGATGCAAGAAGGAAGGACAAAACAATTACTATGGACGATGTAAATGAATTCTTCAAGAAGTTTTGTTGCTCCTCATGCCTTCTGGGAATTCCAGTTGGATTTGTTTTTCATTTCAAAAAATGATTTGGATAATCAAAAGTTTAGAGTTGGATTAATATGAGTTGATATATTCAGTAAATATGCTACTGTTATACTTATTAACAGTAAGCAACCTGCTGATGTATTAGCTGGAATAATGGAAGGATTAAAAAAGATGGATGGCAAACCTAAATTAATAAACAGCGACGAAGAAGGCAGTCTGTTTAGTTCTACCATTACAGATTATTTGAAGGAAGAGAAAATTGAATTACACACTACACGGGGACACCCTGCTTTCGGAGAACGTTTCATAAGGACATTTAAAGATATGCTTTTCAAAAGAGTTGATGCCGATGAGAAGAAAGGTAAAAATAATATTCAATGGACTGACTACATATTGGAAATCTTATTAACTTATAATAATAAATTGGTAAGTTCTATTACGAAAATGACACCATTAGAAGCAAGGAAACATAAAAATGAGTTTGAAGTCAAACTGAATATATCAATGAATGCCAGAAAAACCCGTTTGTATCCTGATTTAGATATTGGAGATAAGGTTAAGATTATGAGGAAAAAAGGAATTAGTGAAAAAGAACGGACAAGCCACTGGTTAAAATCCATCCACGTGGTGGAGAAGATAGAAACTAAATTAGGGCAAAAATATTATTATGTTACTGATTATCCAAAATTATTATTGAGACATGAAATGTTAAAGTTATAGTTTTAGACTAAAAAGGGTTTAAAGACAAACTGCCTATATATATTAGTGAAAATGTTCAGTGAAATTGAGCAAGAAAATATTATTAACGAATTCTTGAATACAATTTATGTAAGTGATATGTGTAAAATTATGAAAACTAAAATCATAAATTGCCCTTGTAAATTAGAAGATAACAAGGTTGAATTATGTAAATTAAATTTACCTCAAAATATTATCAATGATATATGTAAATTTAGTTATCAAGAATGTGAAGACTGCCAATACCTAAGGAGACTACCTAAAATTGTTGAAAGAAAAAACAAATGTAAAGCAATTGATGGTTTAACATATTTGTTTGTTAAATGTAATTTCTTTCCAGATAAAAAGGTATTGAGAGAGGAGTTTAACTTTTCATTTAAAAGGATAGACTGTCTAAAACAAATTTATCGGAGAATAGGTAATAATGATGTAGATATGGTAATTGACATTATTAAGTTGGAGAAATTCAACTTGGATAGAACAATTGCTGATTTTAATAAGGTTATACAATATATGTATGACAACAAGAGGCACCGAAAACATTTATGCTGTAATCAATTTGTGGAATGTCCTGTGTTTAAAATACCACCTTTTGAAGAAGATTAACCCATAAACCTTACAATAAAAACATTGTAAGATTTATGTTCATGCTCTTTGAAAAGAAGCGTTGGAATGTTTCGTTGATTGGTTGTTTTGGAATGTTCTGTGTTCTGTTCCTTGTTTGGTTTTTGGTTATGTTCTTTGTTGTTGGGGGTTTTTGAATAAGGGATAGGTTTGATTTATCAAACCTCTTAGGCAACTTCGTTGCCTGAACCTTCAACCTATCTGAGTAAGGAAAAATATGGTTGAAATGGTAGGTAGCTTTGGAATGTTGACTGGAATGTTGGATTTGAATGGTTGAAATGGTAGGTAGCTTTGGAATGTTGACTGGAATGTTGGACTTGAATGGTTGAAATGGTATGCTGTTTTTAAATGGACTGAAAAGTGTGGGGGGGGGTATAGATGTTGAGGTGGGTTGAAGGGCTCCTGCTCCCCTTCCCCCACCCAATCTCCCCCACCCAATCTCCCACCCCCTTCCCCCACCCCCCCTTCCCCACCCCCCTTCCCCACCCCCCTTCCCCACCCCCCTTCCCGCACCCCCCTTCCCACCCCCCCCCGCCCCCACAAAGCCGCCTGTCAGTGCTGAAGAGCGTGCCCTGGGGGTTCAGGCCGAGCTTCACGTTCGCGCCATGCAGCCACTGCCTCGGCCGACCGTTTTTTTCCGGAGAATTCTAGCAGTGAGCGTCAGCGATTGGACTGACAAGGCCCATTTGCGGGTGTGAATTTCCCTGCAAAACACGCAGACCACTCCTGAAACGGAGTCCGGTTTGGCAAGAAGTACTGTTACGCAAGAGTTGATGCTACGGGGCCACTCATTGAGTGTTTGATTTGGAAAGTAGGCAGATAGAGTCAGTAGATGGATTCAGCGGATGTTGGCTCAGGATGCCAGAACTTGGCTTCCTGGTCTTCAATAGTGTGCAACTGTCCCTATTTTGTATGTTCAGAAAGCAAGATGGGGACAGTTCCACACTTTTGAAGACCAGGAGCAAGCCAAAAGTGCTGCACGGTCCCCAAAACACTTAAAACACCAATTACTCGAACATCTGCCAGACTCTGAAAAATAAGTAGTGTTGTTGTATTTTTTAGGGACAATTCCACACGTTTGAGGTCCAAAACATAGAAAGTGCCCTACCGTGCTGATTTTTGGGGTTCAGACAGCAAGAACATGGGGACAGTTCGACCTTTCACCATTTTGTGCTGCCAGGTGCTGAAAGCACTGAGAGGTTTGATCGGAAGCTGAGTTATATAGACCTCAGCAAGACTTCCAGAAAATATGTGTTTTAGGTTTGTTGGGGCAGTACAGCACGGGTTGCTTCTCAAAGCTGAAAATTAGGGATCTGTCAGCAAGGCAGCAGCCTTGAAGTTGATTGTGTGTTGTTTAGAGACATGTTTAAAGGAACGGCCTACCACCCCTCTGGAAGCAACACGTTGACATTGTCTGTATCTAAAAAAGAACGTTGAACGGAAACGCCTGCCAGTCCAAATCTGGATGCCACAACTTTGATTTTAAGAATTCTCCAACGGGCTTGGAAATGAAAGATCTATCAAACAAAATTAGAAACATGAGCATTTAAATTGAATGCTCTGCACAAGGAGCGTTCAAAGGAACTCTGACTACCAGCCCTTGAAGGCAACAGCTTTGCATTGACTGTGTGTTTAAAGGAACTTCAAAAGGAAACACCTACCCGCCCGGATCTGGAAAGCACAAAGGAACTTCAAAAGGAACAGCCTAGCCCAAATCTGGAAAAAAACATCAGGCTGTATCAAAAAGAAGAAGAAAAGCTCAAGAAGCAGAAAACACCTCAGGCGCCGACTGCCCGACTGTCCGACTGTCCGACTCCTTTGAGGTCCCCGCACGCAGCGTTCCAACTTCCACTCCATGGAGTCCAGGGCCTCGCCATGGGACGCGACGTATCGTGTGGCTGCGACGGTCCACTTCGCACTTTGGTCAAAACTGCGGCTGAAACCATATGACGACGCCCACCAAAAACCTGAAAGGGAAACCCTTCCCCAAAGGAGGAGGAAAAGCGGGGCCCACCATACTCGACCTGGCATAGATTAGTTGTTTTGGTAAATGGGGCATGAAACCCATCTCTATTTCTTACCAAACTAACCAGGTTTCCCTCCCTTGTTTACGGTCTTCTCGTGGAATCGAATCGGAAACCATTCCAGGGTGCCTTGGAGTGTGCGCATGCCATTAGACTGATTGGAGAAGAAGTACCGTGAAATCGCCTTCCGCCTGGGATCGATTCGTAAGGAAAATCTTAGGAAGGGTGGCCTGGCTGTCAGTTCGTTGGGGGCATCCAAGTTCCGAAACCAAAGGCACCCCCAATTGAGCTTCTCCAATTCAGACATGGCTGTGGCTCAAGAAACCGGTACCAAAATGGAACCCTGGTAAGTGGACACATGGACCAAAACCTGCGTAACCCCTCCTGTTTAATTTTGAGCCACAGCCGCATGTTGAACCAAGGGTTTCTCGCAGCGCGTCAGCGAGTTCTGGGTGGACTGTTGGGCCATCCAAAGACCACGACCGCGCAGCTCACTGCCCCCGCCGGAACTCCACTCGAGACGGCAAGGCCCGCGCCTCTCGCTGAAAGATCTGAAGCTCGCGCTGGGCGACGCCCTGGAAAAAACGGAGCGGAAGAGAAAGGCATATAGCGTGGATGGACGCGAAATCCAGAAACCGCACCACCTAAGAAACCCTGGTGTCTGTGGATGGTTGCGAAACCCATTTTGCACCACCTAAGAAACCCTGGTGTCTGATGATTCTCTTGTAAATAGCAACAAAGCATGGTTTCGACCATGGCTTCAAAGTGGTGCGAAATGGATTTTGTCCATCCACAGTAGGTCTAGCGCGGATGCCCTAAAACCTTGCAAGTAGGGAACCAAGGAAATACTGTACACTCCCATGGTTTGTTGTGATGGGTCGACTTGCAATACTTAGGGCATGGTCTCACTTGTCCAGAGGACCTGGAAATAGAAGGTGATACCCTTTTGCGACCTTGGCCAAATATGGACCAAAACAGAGGAAAACAAAAGGTCAAAAGGTCGATTGGCTTTGGGCAACCGAGCTAACGTTTTGAGAAGGTTTTGAAGAGAAGCCAAAAGGAAGTCAGCTGAGGGCTTGCTAAGATCTGCAGATTGAAATCTGTACCAAGGGCATCCGTTTGAGGGGGATGGGAGCCCGTAGAAAATGTGTTGGCGCCCTAGCCTGTTAAACCAGGTCATTTTGAGGTCCAGACCAACCCTGTTGAAGTGAAGGGTTGAGCCCATTTTGGATGGGTTTCAAAGGACACCCAAAGGCAACCCACCACTTGAGAAACACCCGGATGGAAGAATAGGAGCCGCCCAGGATTGGAAACCTAGATGGTACCCTGGCTTGCAGGGAATCGGACAGACTGGTACTGCTCCAACTGGGTCCATTCAAGTGACATCCTCAAATGACCTTCTAAATGTCTAAATAGTACGTTTCATTTAAACAACAACAAAACATGTCAAATTCAAGAAAACAAGATGTCCAGAAGTCCGAAAATACCACCATTTCAAATCCGCGTCATGTCCGGAAGCAACTCATACGGCCCGCGCCCGCACGAGGCCCTCCAGCTGTTCCATCACCATACCCAGGACGCGGGGCTGTGCCGTGAGGGTCTGCGGCATGGCGGCATGTGCGGGGGGGGGGGGGGCCGGGGCACCCGACGTTTTCCCACCAAACATCCTGGAAAGTAAGAGTGGGGAAAGAGTGCAAGGACGGATGGAATCCATTGGGGCATCCAACATGCCGTCTCCGTACCTTGCAACGGATGTCTTGGGCAGTTGCTGTGGAATGCTAGGGCAGTTGCTAGGCCTGTAGGTATGGAAGTCTAGAGCAATTGCAACGGATTGTTGGGGCTGTTGCACCGGAATCCTGGGGCTGTTGCAACGGATTTCTGGGGTTTTTGCAAACGATTTCGGGGGCTGTTGCGGTTGTTGCCTGCATCAGTGGCAATTGTCATCCATGTTAATTCGTCCTGTCACGTATGTCAGCTGGAGGCGTCGCCCATGTCAATGGTCGCCAACGTGTGTTGCAATTGTAGCTGTCAACGCACGAGCCACGACGATGCACATCGATCTACTAAAGCCTTGTTCCATTCACATTTTGCCATCCAATTTGTCCAGGGTATATTACTGGGCGGTTGACATGATGTGGGTTAACGATGAGTTCTCGTGAGTGAGATTAGGTTCAAAAAAGGCGTGTTTGGATAGGTGTATGTGAATTGTGCCACAAAACATAAAAGGGGGGGATTGGCAAAATATCCCATGTTTTCCACAAAACAGCCCCAAAAGCCAAAGTAGCCCCACTCCACTAGACAGGCCCAAAACAAAAGAGTAACACCACATGTCCAAGCAAGCAAGCAAGCAAGCAAGCAAGCAAGCAAGCAAGCAAGCAAGCAAGCAAGCAAGCAAGCAAGCAAGCAAGCAAGCAAGCAAGCAAGCAAGCAAGCAAGCAAGCAAGCAAGCAAGCAAGCAAGCAAGCAAGCAAGCAAGCAAGCAAGCAAGCAAGCAAGCAAGCAAGCAAGCAAGCAAGCAAGCAAGCAAGCAAGCAAGCAAGCAAGCAAGCAAGCAAGCAAGCAAGCAAGCAAGCAAGCAAGCAAGCAAGCAAGCAAGCAAGCAAGCAAGCAAGCAAGCAAGCAAGCAAGCAAGCAAGCAAGCAAGCAAGCAAGCAAGCAAGCAAGCAAGCAAGCAAGCAAGCAAGCAAGCAAGCAAGCAAGCAAGCAAGCAAGCACCACCAACAACAACAACAACCTCTGCTATTCGCACGTGCCTGCAGCTTCTGCTCGGACTTGCGCAAGGCATCCGTGATGTACTTCTTCAAGCCATCCTGTCGTGGAACAGAGTCCCAGAAGAGGCACCCCGCCAAAATACAACCCCAAACAGTGGGTGTCAAATGCTTGGTGAGAAAAACAAGAAAACATACACGTCGCCTTTTGGTCTCTCTTCGGGAAGATTAAAGATTGTGGGATTTCTTGCATCACCAGCCGCGCAAAAAACCCAGAATCCAGGAACCTGCCCCAAAACCGCCCGAAACCAAACATTTTGCGGTTTGACCTCATAGCTGCCGCTGGGGCTGGGAACGACTCGAGCCAAATTGGATTTTGCAAAAACACGACCCACGAGGGTGTGCGTCAAAATGGGGGCCCAAAATGGAACCCCTGTACATGGAGAAGTAGACTAACACCTGTGTAAACCTATCTCTTTAAGTTTGAGCCACACCCAAAAGGTTGAAGCATTGGAACACCCTCGCGAACTGCTGCGAGTGCTCGGCACGTGGGCGATGTCAAAGCCGAGTTCTGGTGGGAGACATGGGAACCATGTGCTTCTAGCTCGGCTCCAAGGGAAAATTGGTTGTGGCTCAAAAGAAGCGGCATAGGGTATCTTCAACCCCATATATATATATATATATATATATGTACCAGTCCCTGGGCCACGTACCCCCCCCCCCCCCCAATGGTATGGTCCCCCCACTCCCCCGCATCATCCGCATCTTGGGGATGATGCTGGCAATGCTGGGGATGCTGTCCAGTACCGTGCGAGCCCTGCAGCTTCGGTCCCAGACCCCCTTTCACCCCGTGAACCAACACCCCCGCACCTCTCGCAACATCCTACCCTAAACCAAACCACCCTGCAACCCCTCCTTAACCCCAACCCTAAGCCTAAATCAACCCAAACCCCAAACCCACCCGAAACCCACCGCAAACCAACCCTGAACCAACCCTGAACCAACCCTAAACCAACCCACCAAGCCTCAACCAACTCCGAACCACCCAACCACCCAACCACCCAACCACCCAACCACCCCACCACCCCACCACCCCACCACCCCACCACCCCACCACCCCACCACCCCACCACCCCACCACCCCACCACCCCACCACCCCACCACCCCACCACCCCACCACCCCACCACCCCACCACCACCCCACCACCCCACCACCCCACCACACCCCACCACCCCACCACCCCACCCCCCCAACCACACCACCCCACCCCCACCACGGGGGGGGGGTTGGCCCAACCACCAACCCCCAACACCCCCCACCACCCCACCACCCCACCCCACCCCACCACCCACCCACCCCACCCCCACAGGGGGGGGGGGGGGGGGGGGGGGGTTGGGGGGGGGGGGCGGGGGGGGGGTCCACGGCCTGGAACATATATATAGATATAAAGAAATGTGGTCTGGGTCCGCACATCTCTGAGCCGCCCCCAAAAATGGGGCCGGGCTGCCGGTTGGTTCCCTCCAATTGGAGTCCTTCCAAGGTCCTCCGCTGATATTCCCGTTGGCTTCCAACCCACGGGCGGGGAGACCCCCCAAACTTCGGGGCATCCCGTTGTGCGAAAATACCGCGGACGGTTGCGAAATCCAGAAACCGCACCACTGTTCAGAAACCTTGGTGTCTTGGTGATTCGCTTGTAAATACCAACAAACCTGATGGTTTCCGTATGGCTTCTCAGGCGGTGCGGTTTATGGATTTTGTCCTGCCACTGTATGTTTCCAGGCTCCCAGAACCCCAGCTCGGTTTCAACACAACCCAAGAACAACGAAACGCGCCAAGCGCGCTTTGGCCCGAAACCCAAAACCGCCAAAACGTCGCCCGCCGGCGTGGCTCGACTCGCCTTCTGCTCGGAGAAGTCGGTGCTCACCTTGGAGACCTTCTGGTGAAAGACCTCCTGCGCCTCAGAGGTCACATGGGACCGGACCCAAACGAGGACCACATGAACAGAGGACAGTCATAGGTGTCCTTTTAGGGCAAATGATGGGTTTCCCTGGTAGATGATTAAACCACCAGGCAAACCAGGAATCGCCATCTATCTTTCTACCAAAACCGCCAAAAAGGACACCTATGTAAACCCGTGGGGTGCTGCAAAAAAAAAAAACCTCTTGCTGTGAGGGATGCAGGGAATGAGAAATGGAAAAAACATCCAACTGGTGGTTTCCTGGGACCCCTGGGTTCATTCCCTCGTTCCCTACTGAGCATGGTGACAGAGTCTTGGAAATCTTCAACTTTATCAGGGTTGATTTTCGACAAAATGGGAGGACCCGTTCCGCGAGAAAGGAAGCCAAAAGTCTGAGGAAGATTTGCAGCTTGGCCATGCACGCCAGTTTGAAGACGAGCATCCGAATGGCCTCTCCGGTTCCTTCTTGTTTGTCAGCAAGAGTAGTTGGTGCTGGTAATTGTGTTGTTTTGTTAAATCATATTTGTTTTTATTGAAACCAGCGGAATCCATCAATTTCCAGCCAGACTGACCTGGAAAGCACTCGTCTATGTTCAGCTTCAGTCGGGTCGCGACTTGGGGGAACTCGAGACCTTGATGGGCCAAATCGGATAGCGGGACGAGTGGACGAGTCCGAACTATTCCCTCGACAGGGTGGGGAATGACCAGATACAACAGAAAGGGCTTCCCAAAGACGATTTTGTGAACAGAAAGGGGAGAAACCACTTGTATCACAGAAGTGGGGAGAAACCCCGAGTGATCCCACAACCCTGCTCGACAGGCATGGGGCATCCACCCCCCCCCCATTTGGGACATTTTGAGGTTGTTGTGGCGTTGAATGGCAGCTCATCTGACAACTGCTCATCTAAGAAAAGGTGGATGGAAGAGACCAGATGCCCTTGGCAACCCCTCTTCCAGCCACCCCTCCTCCAGAAACTTCCGGACCAGACACGAGAGGATAACTGTTCCTCTAAACTCCAAATTCGGTACAAAAGCAACAAGTGCCACGTCCAAACAATAATCCCAAACGGCAACTTTCGAGAACCTGAATGCGAAGGTTGCTCCGGAGCATTGGCCTGCTCCTTGACACCGGGACAAAGAACGCAAAGCATCGGAACAGCGTTCTGAAGCTGTTCTCCAACATCTGCCTGCTGCTCTGGGAAGATGTGAACCTCAACAAGCACCCATCCTCAAACACATGAAGACAGGCTCCGCAAAGCCCGGGCTGCTCCGAAACAGCTGGGTGAAGATTCCCCTAACTCGGACCCGTTTGGTTTCAGGGGTATGGGTGACCTTTTGGAAACTCTATTTCTACCCCCAAAAGGACACCTATTTGTGCTGTCCTCAGATCACCCCTCTAAATGTCTCAACTTTTGGTGGCCAAAAAAAAAGAGATCCAACTACCAAACACCAAAAAAGCCAAAAAGCCAAAAAGCCATGGAACGGGATGGCCTTTTGGAGCCCCCAGCGCTCTCAAGGTGCAGGGCTCCGGGCGCCCGCAGGGCCCGCCTCCCGGCCGAAAAACCGGGGCTCGCACCTGCCGCAGCTCGAGCGCCAAGGACTCCTGATGCTTTGAGCGCATCGAGTCCGGCGAACGAGCCAACGCATCAACCAACCAACCAACCAACCAGACAAACAAACAAGCAAGCAAGCAAATCAGCAAATCAACACACAAAGGAAACCAATCAAACCACCAACCAAACCAACCAGACAAACTAAACCACACCAACACCAAGCCAAACCCAACCCAACCCAACTAAACAAACAAAAATAACACCCCGTCATGCTGAAAGAAGAAGCAAACAAACAAACGAATCAACAAATACACAGAAAGGAAACCAATCAAACCACTAATCAACACGAACCACCCCATCAAACTGCCCCTTTAAAGAAGAGGCAAACAAAGCAAAGCAAAACAAAAACAGGCACATAAAAAAAGAAGAAGAAACAACTGCTTCCTCCAACCCCCAACCTCCCCCAACCTCCCCCAACCACCTCCTCCCCACCCCCCGGCGGCTTCGTCTCCGAAAAAAAGAAATAAAAAGGAAAAAATCGCTTCGCTCCTGGCGCTTCAGCTGCTCCTCCAGCGCCCCCCGCAAGTCCTGGGCCTCCTGAAACAGATCCACGGCGCGAACCGACGAACCGGCGCCGGCGCCTTCCGCGTCCCGTGCGCAGCCACGTCAGTTTTTTCGAGTGATGTTGGGAAGCTTCCCAAATGCAGCCGCTCGCAACATGTTCCTCTTCTGCTACCAACAAACGCAGGAAGCTCTCGCAGATAAGCGCTCATGGTCGCCTCTTAAAGCTGATGACGACTGGTCAAACGGCATTCCAACCACCTAAAAGCTTGAACTTGCTGCTACTCAGCAGGGAATGAGTTGAAATGACCCCTATAAACCATCCCTTGTGGCTTCCTATAAACCATCCCTTGTGGCTTCCTATAAGGAAATCCCCATTTTCATTCCATTTCTCATTCCCTCATCACCGTTGAGCAGCTGGCATCCCAGGAATTTCGAGCATCCGCGCCCGATCTGATGGATGGTTCGGTTTGTTTGCCTTTGGGCTAGTCTTCAGTCTTCAGTTCCACAGGACCCCTATGCCAGGGTCCGGCCGAAGAATCACCAGATCAAAAAGCACCCAAAACCGGCCCTTGGGTCACAGGAACCGCCTGGAGGTTGGCACCGCCTGCCCTTCTCCAGGTGGGCACCTCTACAAGTTATACGAATTCATCCTATGGTGCAGGAATCAGCCAAATGGTGAACCCCAAATTTCACCCTTGGCTAAAACCATGAGAGAATCAGCGTGCTGTCACCCACGTCCAACCCCGAGCTCACACGAAAATCTGGTGATTCTTCGGCCGGACCCTGGCATAGGGGCCCTGTGGAACTGAAGACTAGCCCAAAGGCAACCAAATCGAAGCATCAATCAGATTCCGGACATGGCCAAATGCGGAGGAAGGGTGTCAAAGGCCTAAAAGAAAAGGTGTTCCTCTTGCTGTCCCTTCAAGCAAACATGAAAAAGATAAAGCTGGCTTCTTTTGATTGGGATCAAAAATGGAAGGGAAGCAGACGGCATCGTTCCAGCCAAAAAAAAGCCCCGCGCCTGCGCCTGCACCGCCAGGCGCGAGCTCAGGCGGCTCTCCCTCTCCCCGGCATCCGCGCGGCTGGTGGCGAGCCCCGCCTGAGCGCTCCA